TATCCTCCTAACAATCATCTAAACATTCAGAATGAAGTTAAATGCAGAATACCCTTTAGAAGGTCTCTCTCGACTTCCACTTGTCCCCTCACCCACAGCCTGGTAAAACTATCCCGGCCTTTTCTGATTATTTTTTTTTAATGAGGTTCTTTTTTTCCCTAGCTTTATTGAGATACAGTTGACATATGTCATTGTGTGAGTTTAAGATGTCCAACATAATGATTTGATATATGTATAGATTTCAAAGTGATTATCACCTTAGGGTTAGTTAACACATCTATCACCTCACCATTTTTATTTTATAGTTTTTATAGTTACCATTTTTATTTTTGTACTGAGAATCTATTCTTTTGGCAACTTTCAAATATATAATACAGTATCGTTAACTACAGTCACCATGTTGTACATTATATCCCCAGAACTTACTCGTCTTACAACTAGAGGTCTGTACCTGCCTCCCCACTCCACAGCCTGTTCCTGCCCCTGGCTACCACCAACTTGTTCTTTGTTTCTATGAGTTGGTTTTTTGTTTTTTTTTTAGATTCCATACCTAAGTGATATCTACGGTATTTTTCTTTCTTTGTCTGAGTTATTTTACTTAGCACAATGCCCTCAAGGTCCATCCATGTTGTCACAAATGGCAGGATTTCCTTCTTTTTTTTTCTTTTTTATGACAGTAATGTTCCGTTGTGTATGAATACCACATTTTCTTTCTCCATTCATCCGTTGATGGACACTTGGGTTGTTTCTTTGTCTTGGCTGTTGTAAATAATGCCGCAGTGAATACGGAGATGCAGATATCTCTTCAAGGGTTATTTCATTTTCTTTGGATACATGCCTAGAAGTGGAACTGGCAGATCATATGGCATTCCTATTTTTAATTTTTTGAGGAGCCTCCATACTGGATTCCACAGTGGCTGTACCAATTTATAGTCTTACCTCTGATGAAACTATAGTATTAGCCTCTTGAGATAAGGAACAATGATTTGTGCCTAAGTTAGCTGGTAGGTTTATAGGGATTTATTTTATTATGCTTCACAACTTACATATACGTTAAGTAAACACTTTTATTTATATTAAATATTACAAAATAAATTATACAAAAAGGAAAATAATTGGAAAATAATTGGAAAAAACATCAAAATGTTTTTCTTTTATGGAACTAAATTAATATTCTTTATCTTTTTTTTTCCATTTTTTATATAGCTATGTCATGTTTCTATAATTAGAAAAAACATAAATGTTATTAAGGGTGCAACAAGACTTTTTGAATTAAAATAATATTTTCAGCCTGCATCACCCCTAAAAGAATTAGTTCCATGTTTGTTCCAGATTTAGTAGGTATTTCTGTAAAAGTATAGATTCTTTTTTTTTTTTCTTTTTTTGTCCTGAGTTTGGCTTTTGTAAGTTTCTAATGGTTTTGCTACACTAACAAGTTATGAGTAAGGGCTGTGTTCACCCCATGTAGGCCCCCTGGGTAAGCATCTTTCACGTTGCATTTTTGTTTGAGTTTAAGGGTACCTAATGTTTTCAAATGTTCTAGAATATTTTACCTGTCCTGCTTTTATGTCCTTGTAGGCCTTGGCTATGTTTATCTCAAGGAATGATAACCAGAGCTGTGCTGTTATTTATTTTAGGAGCTAGTGTTCCAAATATTGGACATCGGTGGTTCATGCTGACACCATTTTTCTTAGTGCCCTTTCTGATGGTATCAACATTATGCTGTCCTTTTGGCCAGTGAAGCATTTGGGCCAATAGACTTTCAAAAATTTGTCTCTCCTTTCATTGAAGATGAAGGCATGAACTTCAGAATTTCTCTTTCTCTGTTGCATCCATGAAAACGTGTTATATCCTACCACTAATGATGATAAAAACATGAACAGCAGGTGTTTTTATTGTACTTTAGGCTTTATATATCGCTTTTACCTATGTAATCTATCTTTGATATAGATTATATCTTAATGTTCACAACTCTCTGAGGTATGTAATGGAAACATTATTTTTTAAAGATTTATTTTTTCATTTTAGAGAGAGAGAGGAGAGAGAGAGAGCAAGCACACATGAGCAGGGGAAGGGGCAGAGGGTGAGGGAGAGAATCTCAAGCAGACTTCACACTGAGCATGGAGCCTGATGGGCTCGATCCCATGACCCTGGACCCTGAGATCACGACCCAAGCTGAAATCAAGAGTTGGACGCTCAACCAACTGAGCCACCCAGGTGCCCCAGGGGAAGCATTATTACTATTACCATTTTTCAGATCAAATAAGACTTAAGGAGCTTGAGTGATTTTCCTCTGCTGAAGTCAATGTCTTCCTTCTAGTTAGAATAACTGAAAATTATTACCATCTTTCTTTGATTGCTTAAAAAAATCTACTTGTGCAGGATTTTAAAAATGCCTGGATGGTATATGTAAACAGATGTAAATGGTACCCTACGTATCTGCAAACATGAATGTATTTCCTTCTTACACAGTGCAGAAAGGATATGGATGTAGACTTAGCTGTGACTGTGTCCCCCATCTATGGCATGGGTGTTTTCTCTAAATGGAATTGTGGCTGTTGCCCAAATCATGATCATCTCCTCTTTAGAAAGCTGAAAGAATGTGGCCAAAGGGGGAAACTCATGATTTGTGGGTTTCTTTTGTGAACAAGCCTAACCACTGTATTTGGGTCTTAGGACAAAGCTGGCCTTTAGTCAGCTCTGTGAAAGGCTGGATGCATAAAATGCTGATAAAGAGGATGACAAGAATTTTGGCTGAATGGGATGCAGGATGGAGGTTTCCTGTGGATCACGCGGCCAGCAAAATGTGGACTGTGATTGTTTTACCATCCACTTCCTAGCAGCAGTTTAACTGCTTTCCTGTTTGTGATCCAGAGATTAACACAGAACTTAGTTCAGACAAGAAGGGGTTCAACCTGCAAACCTTTGATAACACAAGTGAAGTGTTTGCTGGATTTCTGTTTTTGGAAGTTTGGTTGTATTTGTTGAGGGATGTATTAACTCTTCGAATCCCATTACTCTATTCAGGTAGCTAAATGTGGATCATCTACTCCCTCAACTGTGAAAGTAGAAAACAAGGGGGTCAGATTCTTAGCTTTAGAGTTCAAAAGATGTGTTCCAGCTGCCAATATAAAATATTTAGAATATCTGCAGAATCCGATGTTTCCATCAAAGAAGACAAAATTCTCCAGACTAGAGAGAGAGAGAGCTGGAGGAGAGAGAAATACAGTTATGTGTTGGCATAGGTCTCAGTAGGTGCCCTATATCCTGCCCCAATCTTAGCCAAAACCTCAAAGGGGCAGGTAGAATTCTGCGATCCCCAAATGAGTTTGGAGATCTAAGAACAGAAAGCACTGTGTCTTACTTACTTGGAGGAGAAGGGTGTCCAGGAGAGCAGTAAGGCCCTAGAACAATCCCCAGCACACCCACACACATACAATCTTGTACAGGAACAGAAGAGTGGACATGGTTGTGGGGCATGTCCTGGTGGAGAGCACCCAAGACAGCCCCAGTGGATTTCCCATAGTTCTTGAGTGTCAAAAGTGTTAGAAGAGCTCTAAACACTTTTTGAGTTCTTTCAAGAGGATTGACAATGTAGGCAGGGAGGCCAGGAGACTCAGGAGACACAATCAGAACAAGAATAGAGAGTAACATAAAATAAATGAGTATAGGGAAAAATAAAGGGAGAGAGAGAGAGAGGTAAACCAAGAGACAGACTCTTAACTATGGAGAAGAAACGGATGGTTACCAGAGGGGAGGTGGGTAGGAAGACGGGGGAAATAGGTGATGGGGATTAAGGAGGGCTCTTGGTGATGAGCACTGGGTCATGTATGGAAGTGTTGAGTCACCGTAATGTACACCTGCAACTAAAATTACACTGTATGTTAATTAACTGGAATTTAAATAAAAACTTAAAAAAAAAAAAGAATAGAGAGTAACCTTCCAGTCTTTTAAGAGGGTTGCTGATGGAAACATGGGCACTTCATGCTGGGACAGATGGATGCAGATGACTAGGGAGCAGCAGCCTGAGGTTACGGTAGTGGATTTTGATTGGCTACATTTAAACAAGGCCACCCTCACCCTCAAGAACCATAGCTCAACACTGTGACCATGCATAAGTGTTTTACATTCCACGTTGGTTTGGATGTGGTCTAAAGTGACTGAGAAAACCCTGTAGCAATTATGAGAAAAGCCAGAGTGATTTTTACAATCAGCAGGCTAGAGTTTCACAGCAGATACTATTTATTTTGGCTAACAAAAATAAAGGACCTTATTGCTTTCATATTCCCGAGTCAATGGCCCATAAAGTCTATACTTTCTGTGCCCCTCGAGAGCTCCCTATGAGATCGCAGTTACAATGAAATACAGTCAGCCATTTTGCCAAGACTGGACTTGGCCCCCATCTTCTCCCAAACACAGACCTCATCTAAGCCATCAGATGGCGCACATAATCACTCTTATAAGCCACTAAAAGTAATGAGGGCTTTTTTGTTAGGTTGGTATAAACATCATTTATTTTGTAATTCTTGAAAGAGAAAAGCTATTTGGATGTCAAGGCCAGTGACGACAAAGCGCTATGGAACGACCACAGAACTAAGACCCCATTTTGCTACATGGCTCCTGAAACACAGGCTCTTCCCCACCCTTTACTCTTAGAAGCTGGTTAGCTTCTCATGTGCAATCCATACAAATGGCACATAAAAATGGTAAAATCAGATTAGAAAGTTTCCTAAAACATGGGATACAACCTACAACTGGAACAAAAATGGAGGAATAATAAAAAAAAAATAAAAAAAAAAAAAAAATGGAGGAATAGCCACTATGAGTTCATCAGCATTTCAGTGAACTGGTTTCTTTTTCCGAAAGAAAAGTGTTCCAGAGGAAGAAATATGGGGTCAAGGTTTGATGTGGAGAATTCTATTGGATGTCTTAATATACCATTAAAAGATTTCCTAAAGGGTTAGGACAGAGCTTATAAGGTTTGCCTTCAGCTATGGAAGTCAGCAGTGCCCATCATAGGGCATATTTTGCCACAACACAATATTTGAGGAGAGATAAACCACCAGGAACGACAACTGTGTCCAGGAGTTCGTGAGGTGTGGCATTAGCGAGGGGTTCTGCAGCTCCAGGAGTTTAGTTCCTCCACCATAAGAGGCATCCATGAGACCTGAGGTCTGCCTCAGCTAAAACAGGAAGAAGGTGTTTAAATTCCAATCTTGTCACAATCAAACTGTCCTTGTCTCAGATCTTATGAGCTACCCACAGTCTTTCCCTCAAAATGCTGCTTTGGGGAACACTTTAAACATAAAAGGCTGTTTGTGTTTGAAAGGAGCCATCCCATACTCTCATAAATAATTTAAACTGCAGTCACACTTTTGCAATGCTCAAGCATGGGAGTTGAAATTGCATTGAAAACTCTCTGGACTGTGTTAAGTCGTCCCTTGGCTATGCATCAGCTACAATTTATTTCATCTTGATGGAGCCTTGGCTTCCCAGATGAGTTGAACAGAGCCGTGAGTGTGGGCATCATTTTGTGAGTGAGGCTGGGCCAGAAGCTGGTTGAAAGATTCAGAGGCAGGGAGTAGCAGCCTCCAGCAAATACCTGGATAGGCTTCCTCTGAAACTCGATGTGAGTTTCTTTAAGTTCTTGGGCAGATACCATCAGTACCGTTGGGCCCTTTTGTGGAATGGTGGCTGAGAATGTGAGGTTCAGCCTGGAAGTTCAGGAGGAAACACAGCTTTATTCTGCCAAAAAATAATTTAGAATATGGTGGTTGGGGAAAACAGATCAGGAAAACTGTCCTGTTGAATAGACTTTCTGTCCTCAAGTCTCCGATTGTTTCATTTGTAGAACATGTTTCCTTTCTCTTTGTATATCCATCGCTGTTCTTACCTCAAATGGGCTCAGATTCCCACATGGTGATTTACCTAGATGTGGTTAATTTTTCTCTTATGAAGCCCAGTGATCTGAGTAAAATACCAACCTTGGTGTTGGTGTACAATATTCTCCCGCAGGAGGAGAAACGGCTATTTCCTCAGGGGGATGACTGTAGAAGGTAATATCCCACCTGGGACATCTGTGAGTGTGAAAGGAGGCATTGATAATTCTGCTGGGAGGACTGGTACCTACTGGGACTGTACTGGGCAAATGCAGATGTGTGGTCACCCTACCTACGATCACAAAGAACAGTTAACAAAATCACTTTCCCCAAATAGATAATGACCTTTGTGTCCAGAAATGCTCATTTACTTCACTTTTTCTCTTTTTTACTAGAAAGTAGATTTTAATTTTATTTCCTATTTTATTGTCCGTTGGGAAGGAACAATCCCTGTACTCTTTTTTTTCCACCTATTTTTTATTTATGCCAGAGGGAGGCATAGATGGGGCCTGATATACTCCTCCCATCCCCCCTTCCCATGTCATGAATAAGGAATTTAAAACGAGGAGGAACATATTCTCTGAGACAAGATGCTAAAGGAAGCTATAGCACTTAGGTAATGAGGACATCACAAGGGCTGACTTAGATAACCTTGATTCACATTAGGTGCTCAATGAAAGAGCACCTCCCTAGAAGTGACTTAGCCCTATCAGAAGACTCACTTGGGGGTGGGGGTCTTAGAAGTCACAACGAATTTCCCTGACTGTAAAAAAAAAAAAAAAAAAAAAAAAGTTATTTCACAACCTTCAGGCTTCCCATTGTGCATTTCCATCTATTCCCTTTTCTTTGCACAAAACATGTCATTTAAGTCACCCATCGTGAAAGGTAGACATGTATCTTAGTTCTCAAGGACTCCAGAGACAGGACCCTCCTTACAGTCTTTGGAGTGTTTTAACTTTTTATTTTGGTATAATTTCAAGATTTATAGAAAAATTGCAAGAATAGAATAGTACAAAGTACCCTCATATACTCTTCCTCCAGATTCCTCAACTGTTAACATTTTATCCCATTTGTTTTATCCTTTAATCCCTCCCATCCTACATCACACACACACACACACTTTTCTTCTGAATCATTTGGAAAAATGTTGCAGATAAGATGCCCTTTGTTTTTAAAAGTTTTATGTATGTCTACTAAAACCAGAACATTTGCTTACATAACCACCGTAGTTATCAAAATCAGGAAATTAACATCAATACAATAATCTACCAACCATTTTCATTTTTGCCAACTGTTCCATTAATGTCCTTTATAGTAAGAGAAAATCCCACATCATGTGTTGAACTCAGTTATCATGTCTCTTTAGTCTTCTTTGTTCTAGAACATTCCTCAGCTTTTGAAATTGACATTTTTGAAGTGTTCAAACCAGGTATTTTCTAGAATATCCCTCAGTTTGGGTTTGTCTGCTGTTTCCTCATGATTAGGCTCAGGTCATACATCTTGGAAGGCTGTTGCAAGTGTTTTAAAGTGTCCTGTACTGGATGCTTATTTTTTAATGGTCATCTCATCCCTAAAGCTGCTGGTTCATCTTCTATTCAGCAACCGTCCACATTGGTCCAATATAGCCAGTGACTCTCAACCTGGACCACACCAGACCATATTAACCAGAATCTCTTGGATTGAAACTGAAACGCAGTATTTAAAAAGCTTTCCAGGTGATTTTAATATGCAGCCAGGGATTCCCTCCCTTCCCTGCCCCCCACCTTTGAACAGGTGTTAAGTCTTCTTGGCAAATATGAGAACTCACATCATTGGAAGATCTTTCCATTCAACCCATCTTGCATTAAACTCGATTAATAAGTGCCAAAGTCTTGCTTGCTGACAAGATTTGTTGGTTCTCACTGTGCCCTACCACTTGATAGCTGGAATTCTATATTACCTAATAAACATATGTGGGTACTTTATATCATCAGACAACACCAATAGAGTGCCCAATCATCTCCTTTGGAGCTGCACAAGCAGAATGGTCTTGTTCTAGAGCAAGAGCTTTCTCCACCTTGGCACTATCATCTGGGCACATTTGCAGCCAGATAATTTTTATTGTGTGGGGCTGTCTTGTGCATTGTAGGATGTTTAGTGCCAGTCCTGGCTTTGAGCCAATAAATGCAAATAGCATCCCCTAATTGTGACAAGAAAAATTATCTCCAGACATTGTCAAATGTCCCCTGGGGAGGTGGGACTTGCCCCCTGTTGAGAACCACTGCTCTAGACTTGCCTCTAGGACTTTGATCAAACTACTCTTCACACCCATCTCCACCTGTCTAAATCCCACTTGTCTTCTAAGACTAGCTGGATCAGGGCCAGTATAATGTATACGTGGTTATAAACAGTGGCTTAGTTATCAGACTGTACTGGGTTCAATGTTTTGCTCTGCCAATTTCTGTAGGAGAGCCTTGCTCAAGGAACTCAGCCTTTGTAGTTCTCAGTCTTCTCGTCTGCAAAATGGGAATCATAATAGCTCCTTCATAGAGTTGTTGGGAGAATTCAATAAGATAGCATATAAAATGTATCCGGTCAATAACATCTGCTCAAAAAAGGATTTCTTAATGAAATAGTTCCTGTAAAGTGGTGAGAATAGTGCCTGGCACATGATAAGATCTCAGTAGATATTAGCAGTCATTGTCATCATCCTCACTGATGAAGAAATTCTGTCACCGAGGGATCAAGTCTTGGTCAAGGTCGAATAGCTGCTACATGACAGAACTAGAAGCAGAGCCCATGCCTAGCACTCCCAGCAAAATGTTCTTTACCTCACTCCAAGCTTTAAAAGATCAATGACAATTCCAGGAAGATGAAGCTATTGGCCAGATGAGCTCTGCGCAGAGCTGTGATAACCAGGACTTGGCAATGCAGGTGAGGTGATTAAGCATTCTGAATTAGAGAAGTGGGAACAATGCTGTTCAAGGGAGCATTTAAAGGCACAGAATCTCTTAAGTACCATCCTCTGAAAATAATTTTTTAAAAAGGGAACAGAAGAGTATTAGGAATACTTTAATCTCGGGGCAACCTGGGTGGCTCAGTCATTGAGCGTCTGCCTTCGGCTCAGGTCATGATCCCAGGGTCCTGGGATCGAG